TCTTCATCTGATAAAAATGGCATTGCCGTAATAAGTCTTTTATTGATCAACAGATAACTTGTTCGTATTTTCGGGGACGTTTGCGAAAAAAAACCGTTATGATTTGCCTTGGAAATCTCATATATAAATATAGGGATTCTTGTGTTCATGTTGCGAACGTTACAGGATGCATCGACAAACAGCTGGGAATGTTACAGTGAGAACACAAAGCAAGACAAACGAGACATACTCGTACCCGTTGAGAACTGTGGAATATCTAGTAGTGTGCTTTCCATGGCCTGACTTGTAAGGAGAGGAGGAGGGGGTATATATATTATATATATATATATATATATATATATATATATATATATATATATATATATATATATATATATATATATATATATATATATATATACAAAATAGCCCTAATTAAGTAAGTAAGTAAGTCATCATCATCATGTAGTCGGACCTTTGCAGAACTTTGATCTCATCACGGTCTGTCTGAATGAAACTCGGTCTCTCGCCAGCTCTCTCGCCTCATGTACTTCCACACTCAAGGAGTTACTTATATCCTGGGCCCATCTTCGTGTCATGGGTCCCTGGCCCCTTCTTCCTAATACCATGCCTTCTGCTATTATTTTTTCGAATCCGTGGTGGCGCTTGATATGAAAAAATATTTCAGCTTTCAAGACAAGATGTTGTTTTTTAGCCAATCTTCCTTGATGTTCATATCTATCAAGATGTCAGTATTTCTCCTCTTCTTTATAAAATATATTCTGAGAATCTTTCTGTAGCATTTCAGCTCAAAAGCCCCCATTCTGTTTTTAAGGACTGGGAGATAGTCCACGACTCACATCCGTATGTCGCTACAGGGAAGATGCATGCTCTCAGCATTCTAATTGTGATCTACTTGCTGGTGCTTAACCATAAACTTTAAATGCTGAGTTATTTAGTAAAGATCCCTTTAAATGCCATTAGGCGCTTTAGGTATATGGGAAGATCACCCATATTTTACAGACCAATCGACATTAGGTGCGTAATGTAGACAGCATTACGCTGGCTGTCTTTACTTCCCCAGGACACACATCCTGGTACCCATTTTAGGCTGCGTCGAACTGCGACGCCCCATACCATGATAAAAATCCCCACAGCCAGAGGTGGGTTTCAATTCCGGTACGTTGGAATTACGAGTCGGACTCGCAACGCCTAAGCCACGGATGCCGCTTAGCCCTAAATAAGCAAATCGTAAAGGTTGAAACCAAATGCGTTGGGCAGAATGACCCATTTCTTGCAACCTAGCTATAAATCAGGTAGTTCTAATCGTATCTTTAAGAGTGGGCGCAAAATAGTAATAATAATTTAATAATAATAATAAGATGAAGAAAAAGAAGAAGGAAAAAAAGAAGAAGAAGAAAAAGAAGTAAAACTGCGTGGCACATCAGGAAAGTTCTTTGGTATACGCTCTTACTGAGTATTTTAATGACAACTTTCTATGAGGTTGAAGTGAGTTCTCGGGGTTTGCCCTCTAGTTTTGCCCTCAAAGATATCGACTCTTCAGGTCGCAGTGATGGTTAAACCTTCAGGCAACCGAGTTGACAGGGATGCAGACCAATGTCCTTTAGAATGTCAGAACTAGACAACATACATGATCACCAGAATATTTAAAGACTGAGTACAGTTGGGAGAAACTAATGAACATTACAGGGATGAATTCTGGAAAGGCGAAAAAATCAGAGAAATATCAGGACAGATCAACAGACTTATGATAAAAGAATAAGGCAACATACTGATATACCATGGGGAGAAGCACCCACAGCAGTACTAAACAAGTACTGAAATATGAAACAAACGAACTCAGGAAATGAGGACATCAAAGAGACAGCTCGAGAGGAACGTTGTTTAGAGAGGCCAGTGATGCCGGACAGGATTCCTCTTCTTCTTCTTCACGCTCACCAGCTGTAAACTCTGACGGAAAGTTCTGGTTGTTCATCCACTTCTGGACTGCAGACCTGTTCCAGAACCTGAGTGTTGTATGAGCATCCGTTTTACAGGTCTGACTCATTTGTATGCAGACTGCCTTTCAGGCAGATGCACTTTGACTTTGATGGAAGCTCCCAATTAGTCGACTCTTACGACACGCTTTTAAAAGATTAAAGAAGACGTCTTGAAAGAAACTGACTTACGAAGAGAACTGATTGCCCACATCCGAAAGAGACAATCCTAATACTTTGGTCTTGTGATGAGAAGGAGAAAACTGGAGTACGTCGTGACGGTAGAAAAGTTGGAGGGGATGAGAGATAGCGGGAGACCGAGAGAACAGATGGTGGACAGTTTGACATCATAGCATGGACAATCATCTGTGTCAGACTTTATTGAAAGTACACAAGACAGAAGGTTGTGGATGACATGACTACAAACGCCACACGGCGTAGACTTTAAGAAGAAGAATAACACGGGTTCCGTGGAAACTGTTGAGTACTAGAGTATGAAGCAAATCAGCAGCTAAGGATAAGCGTTAGGGTTTGAAGGAAACCCCTAATTAGTTGACTCTTACGACATACTTGATAAGGAACCAATGGGTTTATCGACACTCCCCCTTCCCCGCTTTCTTCAAGAACCCACATGAGAAGGACATTAAAATAACTCGCAAACTTCATGCGGGAACTCCCACCACCACCAATACGTCCATCACTACCAGCACGACCAGTCTTCGTCTCATAATTCATACCGTACGGGTCTGGTCTATACGTCTAACTCGCTAGAGTCTGCTGTTACTTGCATTGTCAATCATGTTTGAAACAACTGTTAGTCCATGCCATATGGCTAGACTTGTCCCCTTTCTCTTTGCAATTTAAATGTTCCTGTTGAGACAATGAAATCCAGTGTTTTTCTTTCTCAGAATGTACCCGCTTTTAATGAGCGTCAATCAAATCTCTTGGTAACTTAATTTATTACATCACATTTTCATAGAGAATTGTACGCAAATTCAGTTCATGGTGTTTCCACAATTCTTCTAACATATATTCTTCCTTGTCCAAATTCCTTATCGTTATTCTTAATACCTCGCCATAAAGTTTATCAAATACTACCCATTTTAAAAAGATCGTCCGCTTGAGCTACTTGTTAGAACGCTGGCCTGTCATCAGCGAAACCTGGATTCGAAACTTCAGTAAGGCAATGGTAATTTTTTCTGTTATGGGCTAAAAGAAACATCATAACCAAAACAGTTTGTGTCAACAACATCTTCGAACTTACATCCTGGAGTTTAAAACCAGCCCGTCCGATACAGCCCAAACAAGTGTCAAAAACAGTCAGTAAAAAAAAAAAAAAAAAACTTGATTAAAATAAATTGTCACCTAACGCTTTAAAAAAAAAAAGTTTTATAAAATGCAAAATATGGATATGCACTGGGCAATACCCGTGGTAGTTTTACAAGAAAGAAAAATTCAAATAGCGTTTGTTTATCCTCTTCAATTGAGACGTGTGAGGAAAATATCCAGAAGCATTCTGAAAACAATTCTGGGTATTTTGTTGACTCTCTTTCGCTAACAGACCGGATCACACTAAAAGTGTAAATACATGATAATTCAAGAAAGGAAGAACAGTATCAGACACGATTACCGATGGGAACATGGCCGAAGGCAAGTACATCACTGTTTGAACAAACGTGACAAAGAAAACTTTTAGCGCTTTCAGTTCTGCACCGAACTTACCCTGTAATGTAAATTATGTCACCAGAAGCTGGTACAAGTGGAGAGAAAGTACGGCTTCGAAAAGAAAAACTCAAAAACTAATTTCGAAAAGAAAAACTCAAAAACTAATTTCGAAAAGAAAAACTCAAAAACTGAAGGAAAACTTTCACGACAATCAAGTAGAAACTGACAGGTCTAAGAAACCGTGCATCTAAACAAATTCTTCTTCTTCTTCTTTTGCCTTTCTATCCCCCAATGGAGCATAGGCCCTCAACCAACTCACGCCAAGTCGTTCTATCCTTCGCTATTGCATTGAGCTCTCCCCATGCTCCATGTCCTACCTATCTTTCTAACTTCATTCTCCAGCTCTCTTCTCTATGTGTTTTTTGGCCTTCCTTTATTCCTATGCCCCTGGTCCAGACAAATACTGTGAGAAAATATTGAAGAGAAACCGACAGCGAGCTAAAAAAGAAAGAAAATAAACTTTCTTTAAATTCATTGCATATTGACGCAGGAGCGGCTGGCCGAACGGTTAGAACACTGGGCTCTAAAGCGGGAGACCCGGGTCGAATCCTTAGTAAGGCTGGGAATTTTTTCTGTCGGGGGGGGGGGGGGGGGGAATAAAAACTTCATCTGCACAGTCGTGGCGACAGCACTAGCCATGCAGTCCTAAATCCTCAGGCTCAAAGACCGCCCTGCCTTCACTGCATAAGTGGTAATAAAGGCAGTTATTAGAAGTTTTTGTGTGCATATCCACGACAGAAGTATTGCAGTAATGGTGGTGGTGGTGGTATTGGTGGTGGTGGTAACAATATTTGCAGTAGCAGTAGCAGCAGTAGTTGTATTTACAGAATATTTTCCATATTTTAAAAGGCCAAACGACAGAGAAACGGAAGGCCAAACAGCTAAGAATGTGGGCTGTTAAGTGAGAGACCGACGTTCGAATCCTTTTTTATAAACACATTTCAGACATTAAAAGTATCTCAAGCTTTAAAATCTTAAAACAGCCTATATATTAAGTATACATGTGTGTTGTATTCTCGGGCTAATTACTTTATATTTGTTTCAATTAAAAAAAAAAAGCCAGGTCCATACATGTTGACAAGACTTCTCGTATGTCTGGTGCGTCTCTCCTGTCTGGCTGTGTCGAGCTTAACACATCTTACACATCCAATACATATTATAAGGTGGAAGATGATTCTTTACATAATTAATTTTTACCTTCCAATTTGTGAAATAATTCAATCTAATCACGATCAATTAGAAAAAAAAAATAATTTAAAAAGGTGGACTATGAGCCAACATGAAAAATGGTCTGGATACTCACAGAAAGCAAATACTGCTTCTCCTCATTGCTCAGACCGACGTCTTTTCTGAAGACACCCATCCCCAGAAAGTCCTCCCCGGTCTCCATGCCGAGTTCCTCCATCATCCTTGGAGCAGCGTTCAGCAGCGACTCCCGGTAATCAAGGTACACTTTGTCCATGGTCCCTGGTGGTGAGATTTAATCCTGTAGAATGAAAACAAAAGGCACACGAGGATTATAACGCGGATGTTGAGTATTTTGTTTTTTAAGTATCCAGAAACCATAAGTTGTTAACCATTTGGCTCGTTACTATGGATATTGCAACTCTTCGGCCTTGATTTTAATGATAGATACCGTAAATCTGCGAGAAATGTGGCTTTTTTGCCTACTGGACCACAAAGAGTTCGTCACCAGGTCGCCGCGCAGTCACATTTAGCCAACTGTGCTTGCGAGCCGGGCGTAGGAAGTTTCGTATACGTACAAGGTCCGACAATTAAGTAATGAGATTAATTCCATAAAAATTAAAATAATCAACAGTTGAAGATATAACCTGTATTTTATTCAAAATAAGCCCTTTGTGTATTGATACAGCGAGCAGCACGATCTAACATACACTGAAACGACCTCTGTAGTTCTTCTGTTGCTATGGCCCTTAAAGTCGATGTTACGGCCCTTTGGATGACATCGATATCGTCAAAGAAGCGTCCTTTCAATGGTAACTTTAATTTGGGAATATAAAATACTCACAGGGAGACAAATATGGGGAATGTGGTGGATGGTTGAAAACACACACTTGTTTTAGGGACAAAAATCCTCTTTTGATGATGTCTCGTGGGTACTTAACCCGCTGATGTTTTCCGTCATCAGACAACGAATGGGATACAAACCTGCAAGCAACTTTTGTTATGCCACAATCTTGCACTAAAGTTTTACGAAAAGCCTCTCTATTAACACCAGATTCATCTGCCATCCTCCTGACAGTAAAACAACGATCTTCTTGTATCCGTTCTGAGACTTTTGCAATAACTCATCATTACAAACAGAAATTGGACGTCCAGGTCTAGTTGCATTAGTAATCATTTCTACACCACTTTTGAATCGCAAATACCAGCTGAAAATCTGTGCACGAGATGAACAATTATCTCCATAAGCTTGACGCATTAATTCACCGGCCGCAATGGCGCTCTTTCTGAGTTTTAAACATTATTTAATTTAAGCTTTTTTTTTTGTGTGTGCTCCATGCTGATTACGTAACAATGCACCTCTGACTAGGTTAACAAAATGGTGGCTTGTTTGTTGTCTGCTTATCAGCTGGTGATAAAAAGTTGCCAGATCATAGATGAAGGTTGCCTCTTTGGGCTCCATGCTATGATTCATATATGGCGTTTTTGTCTTAGCTATAATAAAATCAGTCTCATTACTTAATTGTCAGACCGTATATGAGTGACGGCGTTTGTGGCTTAGACGTTGGAAAGCGCTTCGTAATACCGTGGTGCCGGTTCGATCCCAGTTGCGGGTGATCTGACAGCAGACCGCTTTGCGTTAGTTTTGACACTGGTGTCGAGAACTGCCAGTTTAGAAAGCAATGGCAAAGTACAGAACGTTAAATTTGCCTAGAAAAAAATACAAAGAACAAGAAATGCCAAGGTTGGTTCTGCAACGTCCTCAAAGAGCACGCGACTAATATATAAGAACATTTGAATGACTAACAAAGATAATCATCATCATCACGTGCCTTACCGACTGATCTCCCAACCTGCGTTCTTCAACACTTGTAGTAGTTCATGTCCCTACAGTCAGTGCTGACAGTCCCGAAACACATCCATGTCCTGACAAAAGTATGTCAACATTCTTCCAGCGTTGTCTTCCGCTGTCTCTTTTCCCACAACTCTTTCCAGTGGTCAACATATTCCAGTTTCCTTTTTCTTATAACATGACCAAAAAATGACCGTTTTTATCTGATGTTTGTGATAAGTTGTCTTCAGTCCCTCTCCCTATTCGAAGTATTTTGGTTGATCTTTTTTGGATGTCCCAGAAATTTTAAGGATTCTTCTGTAAAATCGCATCTGCCTCAGTCAATTGTCTGACTTGTTTATTAAATTAAATGTCACAGATTTGCAAACGTGGTTAAACTAATCCGATAGGGTAAACATCATGCAAGCATTTTTTAAAAACTTGAAATAACATGAACAAACGAAGACACAAACATATTGTCATATGAATGCTCAAACGAAACTAAGACAAGTTCAGTTAAGTAACTATAAAACATTAAAAGTAAAGTAAGCAACAAATGTTACAAAAAAGTAAAACAGATCAGGAAATTAAACACAAATGTCACACACACACAAAAGTAAAAAAGAACAGTAAAGTAAGTAACACATGTCACACACACACACACACACACACAAAGTAAACAGAACAGTAAAGAAAGCAATAAATGTCACAAAAAGTAAAACACAACAAGAAAGTAGGCCAAAAAAATAAAAAAATAAAAAAGTTAAACAGAACAGTAAGGTAAGCAAGAAATATCACAAAAAATGTGAAACAAAAACAGTAAACTAAGCAGCAAATGTCTCTCCCCACCTCCCCCTCCCCCACCTCCCCCTCCCCCCCCCCCAAAAAAAATGTAAAGTAAGAAACAACGTCTAAGCGGCATCGTCTTCCTGATTATCCAACATTAGTATTTTTACAAGAATGTTCATCATCAGATGCCTTGCTGACTGGCGTTGGCGATCATTATCTCTTTGTCTTCCTCTATTACTCCTTCCACAGATCTTTCCAGTGGTCACAACATGTTTTATTTTCCCTCTTCTCATAACATGGCCGAAAAATGATGACTATCTCATTCTGATGGTTGTAAGTGGTCTTCGGGCTTCCGCCTCTTTCAAAACCTTTTAGTTGGTCTTTTTGGCTGTGCAAGGTATTCTAAGCATTCTTCTGTAAAACCTCATCTCTGAAGCCTCAAGAAATTGTTTGGCCTGCCTACTGATTGTCCAGGGTTTACAGCCATATGTTAAAACTGAATGTATGTAGCAAGCCATAATTCTTTTTCTAACTCTCAATAACAAGGATATATTGCACAAGATAATCTTTATTTTATAAAACATACCATAAAAATAATGTTACATAAATAGAATGGTAACTGTGGACAATATGAAACAGAACACGAGCTACATTTTATTGATTCTTTTACTCATTATGTAACATGTCTCTACAAATATAATCCAAAACACATACTATGACTATACAACTCAACAGATGAAGTATTTCAAAAAAGCGAATACAGAACCTAATATTTTCACTAAAGTCTTTATCAGAATGTAAAGTAATCTTTTTACGCCTTAGGCGCATCGGGCATATGGGAAGAGCACCCATATTTTTACAGATCAACGACACTAGGTGGGTAATGTTATATTTCGCCGGCCGTCTTTACTTTCCTAGGACATACATCCTGGTACTGGGTCGACCTGCGACGCCCTATATCATATACAAATCCACGCAGCTAGCAGTTGGAATTACGATCGGACTCGCAACGCCTGAGCCACGGACGCCGCCAACGTCTTTATCAATGGAATACTGAATGCGATAGAAACTGCGAAGAGAGAAATCAACTAAAAAGACAATAAAACTTATAAACACCACAACATCAGAAATACTTAATAAGAGAAAATATTGACGTCAGAGCTAAATTACGAAGCGAAACAAATGTGTCTGAAAAATTTGAAAGAACTACAAAGCATTTGAATAATTATTTAACAAATATTTTAAAAATACTTTCATTGGTACAGGTGTAAAGTCAGTATACCTTCTCGAATTTCTTCTATAGAGGACAGTTGGTATATTAACTCATTATATTTAAATTTTTAGTTTTGTTTCTTCGGCCCGTTTTGCTGAAATCGGATGTGTTAGGCCAAAAGGTGCAGATATCGGAGGGGAACTGTAAACAACAATACAACATGCCAACTCATTTTTAAGAGCGAATGTTTAAGAAGAAGAAGAAGAAGAAGAAGAAGAAGAAGAAGAAGAAGAAGAAGAAAAAAAGAAGAAAAAGAAGAAGAAGAGTAAAAATAAGAAGAAAAAGAAGAAGAAGAAGAAGAAGAAGATAGAAGAAGAAGAAGAAGAAGAAGAAGAAGAAGAAGAAGAAGAAGAAGAAGAAGAAGAAGAAGAAGAAGAAGAAGAAGAAGAAGAAGAAGAAGAAGAAGAAGAAGAAGAAGAAGAAGAAGAAGAAGAAGAAGAAGAAGAAGAAGAAGAATTAAAAGAAGAAGAAGAAGAAGAAGAAGAAGAATTAAAAGAAGAAGAAGAAGAAGAAGAAGAAGAAGAAGAAGAAGAAGAAGAAGAAGAAGGAAGAAGAAATAGAAGAAGAAGAAGAAGAGAAATAAGAAGTCGAGGGATAACAATAAAAATAAAAGGATCAATTATCCAAACATGAAGCAGAAAGCGAGTTCCATTAATATATTCCTTAACCACAGACCATTCCCTGTGATCATTTTGTGAACTGTCATTTCAACAGCTCCTTTATATCACCAGGCATAATTGTACGCCCATTTCCCTACGCTTTCTATTGGCACGCAATCCTAGAATAAATATTACGAAATCTAAATGTTAGGACAAAAAAAAAAAAGTGCAATAATTTCAGTGCTTTTTGTACGTTTACCGGTGTCTGGGAAAAAAAGTGCGTGTGGGCGTGCGTGCATACGTAAGTGCGTGCGTACGTTCGTGAGCGCGCGCACGCGTGTGTGTGTGTGTGTGATCGCCAAGATTTAAATACATATTACTCCTTCCAGGCAGGCCACATGCAATGTACACGCTAGCTTTTTATTTATTCAAGTCCCAGCGGGGTATTTAAAATTCAATCTTCCTTTGCCGCAGGTATGTATACTTCCTTATGAAAACACCAGCTGCTCATAAAAACTCCTGGCTTCTCTCAGATCTTTACGTCTTTATCATTTAAATTACACCGTTTTCCTTTCAATCAGATTTTTCAATTGATCTGAGTTGAGAAACGACCTCACAGCATGCAGGACCTGTCCATAAGCGCTCTGTTACCATCTTCAGCAGCCAGCGCAGAGTTCCAACTGCGATACTGCCAGCAGCAGGCTGATTATATGTTCGCCTTTGACCTGAGTGTAGAGTGTCAGCCATATTCTTTGATTGAACACTAGATGTAATTGCCCGACTCC